ACAAAAAAGGGAGTGAAGTGTGAACCGCATTTTACAATTAATCAAGGGAGGCATTTTGGCACCTCATTTCATAAAAAAAGCAAAACTGTGAAAAATTACAAGTGCTTGCTATTTATCCACATACTATATAGTCATAAACAATGGGTTATATATTATTGTAATAGAAATTAATCCATTTAGCAAACCATCTTGAGCACCTCTAATATGCTGGATTCTCCAGTAGACCCTGGGGAATACACAGTAGAGTTCTAACTAAAGTCAGCAAAAACTATAAAGTGTGAAAATCCTGTGAATCATGCAGAGAGTACAGTAGGTTTGGTTTTGAATAGTAAACCAAGCCCAGTAATTACTTTTCTCAATGAAATTAAGATAGATCCGGCAGAATAATAGAATAATGAAATACAAAAAAAAGAAAGAATAATGGAATACACAAAAGTGATTATAATATTTAGGTTTCAAGGAACAACTAAATATCCAATCACAAGACTATGTATGCATGTATTTGATCAGTATATGCTTTGTTCATGTATAGAAATGCTGCACTGATCCCCATGAATATGGGGTTGAAGCATTACTTATACAATGAAGCATTTCTTGCCTGCACATTTGTTCTCTTTAATTTAGATAAATTTAATTTAAATACATTTAATTTAAATAAACTTATTTTGTTTTGATTTCAAAGTTTAGGCATAACAATGGTACCCACTTGTATGGAGAGGAGCTGGAATCTAAAGTCACTGGGATGAGTATGGTTCTTTTGACCTCCATCCTGAAAGCATTTATCATTGCTCACAAATGGGTCTGCAGTCAACTGGGTAATGTTTATGGTTTCAGCTGGGTCATTTATGGGATTGCAATAGGCTGTAGGTCTGCAATGTAATTGTGTTGGTCTATTGTGAGATCTCACATGATTAATGTCAACAGGTTCACAATAATCTCCTACGGAAAACTTGAGTATACTCCTGCCTCACCTGGTGATGATCAAGTTTCAAGACAGACTATCAAGGAAGTCCCCACTTCAACCAAATTATATTTACTAAAGCAATGAGTAACCAGACCAATGTGCATAAAAGTGGAAAAGAACTGTCCAATTACAAAGCGAATAATGTGGATTTAGGGACCAGTTAACTGAAGCCTCCAATTAAGTAGATCTGCTCCAGCCCTGAACAGATAAACATTATTGATCCTGTACTATAATGGACATATAGGTCTAGGTTTGGAAAAGTACTGAGGGAAGTGTCCCTTTAAATTGTCTTAGAGCAGAGAGGGTGCTGACTGGACTGACTCCCTTAAAAAGGTGAAATATTTCTCCTGAGTCACTACATCTTCCCTTTGTCTACAGGGTCAAAGTGCTAGTTTATTTTGCCCTGGAAAAAACCTGTTTTCTTTGTTTTGTTTTGTACTATGAATCTCTTTGCCTGGAAGTTCTAAGCATAACTTCTGTTTCATACAAAAAGCCACAATAAATAGTCATTCCCTCAGACTATAAAATTCATAAAACACGGGAGTCCAAGTTTAGTGGATTAATATTAAAGCTGAAACTCAGGTCTCCAGTGTTCTCCTCTGGATTTCTGGGCCAGCATACACTTTCTTGAAGAAATATCTGTGGTAGCTGTCATGATTGAGTGACATAGTACTGTCAGGTTGAAGTACAAAATAAATGGGCAATTTGGGGTAGATATTTTTGAAAATAGGACCGTATCTTTTCATACAACATGATGGCTCATGTGAAAGTGTTTGGAAATTTTTATACTTTTCAAAAAGGAAAAGCAAAAGAGCATAATTATAAGAACATAAAAATAAAGTACAAGGTACAGGACTGATTGTTCTGTGACTATGGAGAATTAACCTAAGCAAGCCAGAGAGAGAAGCTAAAGTAAGAACTGGCATTTTCAGTTTATATAAGATCACACCGAGGATTTTTGAAGGGCCAAGCAACAGAAAACCAGGCATATCCTTGGAGAGCTTCCACAGAATCCAACAGGGCTGTATCTCATTTGACTCAAGGACTTTTCAGATCCTGGAGGTGAATTTTGCCTTGTGAAAATTTCTACCATGCCATTCATATTGATAAACTACAAGTCCTAAACCATATAACTCCATTATCACACATTTGCTTGGAATCAAAACAAAACAAATATGTCTTAACATAGTCACATAAAGCAATAATCCAGAGTGTTTCTTCTTATTTTTGAATGCTCAGTTCTAAATTTTATTCTCTCCTGAATCCTGCTGGTATGGTGTCACCATAGTAATTTTCTTGAATTTTGGCAATGCAATTTCATTTGTCTTAATTTTACCCTCAGAGTATTTTCTTATAAGTGATATATTACAATAGGAAATTTATGCAAGTAACACACCACATCAAAAGATGGTCGGTAAAAATTATGCATGTAACACACAACTTTGAACACATGTATGTAAAAGTTACAGATGAAAAGTAAATCTCTCCCATTCTATCATATTCCCTAACTACTTATATTTCCTCTCAGAAAGACAAATAGTTGTTTTACTCATTTCTGTGAGCAATTCTATGAATATGCCATTGAATGCTTTGTGTAAAAACTTTTTTAAGCAAGTAGAAATATCATATGCACAGAACCACATCTAGTTGTTTTCACAAAATAATCTTGGAAATCACTAGTATTATTTAATTTTCTATGGAGCTCCCCATTCATTTTAATTGCTACATAATAATGTGTTAATGCATCATAATTTATTACTATTCAATTACAATTAAATTACTATTGTTGCACATTAAGATCAAGATACCAGTTTAAATAAGTAAAAGTCAATGACCCTGATTCTGAGTTTCACTGGGAGCTCTGAGTCTCACTTGGAGCACAATCTCAGATTGGCTTCTCCCATATGGTGACCAAACTTTCTCTTCTGAAGCTAGAAGGAAGTTCTCACCTTCTCATATTTCCTCATGTCCTTAGCTGAAATGCAATCTTTCTTAATTTTCAACAATTGTCAGTATTCTTCCAGTTAAGATTTAACTATCAAATTCCTCTAAGATAACCATGACCCCCATCACCACAGACAGAAGGTAATTTTTCCCTGTCAATTTACTTTAGAGACTTATTTGCAATTGTCACCTTGAATTATGCTCATATAAGTATTCATGCGTGCTTCATACCCTTTGCCAGATTGCAAGCCCATTGAAGACTGTGATATATAAAACATGGAGCTGTCCTTCACAAAACTATCAGCAGGACTTGCATATATTTGTGTTTAACAAATTTGTGTTACACAAATGTATCCTTAGAGTATGACTCTATAGAATTCTATTAAATTATGATAGTACACTGATTGAGAAGTCTGTAGCTATGACCTCTGTCCCTATCTCCAATATTACTATTAGTTATATATTGGATAAATTTTTAAACTCCTAGAATATTTATATTTGTAAAATATATTCTATGCTTGTATGAATATGTCAAAATATATTCTAATATTATGTGTAACTAAGTAGAGCAATAAAAATAAATAAAATGGTTATAAAATTTCTGGATTCTCTATATCACCAGATGGTTGTGAAAATCAAATAAAAGAATAGTTTATAAGAAAAATCTTAGTATTAGGAAAAAAAGGAGGGGCCAAGGAGTGACTAAGAGGTAGTGTACTTTCCTAGGGTCTGGGTTTGATTTTCTAAAGTAAAATGATCAGAATAAAATGAGAAAATTTTCCCAGCAAAGGAAAAATAATCTAAATTGTCCTAGTCCAAATATTTACTCGTTGCTCAAAATCTCTCTATATCAACCTCAAATTTATTCTCTATTTATATGAAAATTTCCAGAGGTAAAGTTTCAATCTGTATAGAATTCCATTGTATATTTATGCAGTTCTATATCATGAATTAAATTAATTCATGATAATATGCCACTTGATAATGAAAATCTGCTATATCTGATTGATCATTTTCTCTAACCTCTAAAGTTAAACTGACTGAGATCATTTCACTAATTTGTTAATAATGTAACATCAAGTTTTATAGGATTGGATTGCTTGGGCCACAATAATATGTGATCACAGGAATTTTTAAAATCTTAACTAATCTTCACAATAATTTAACTATTTATAAAAATGTGCTGTACACTCTTCAAGATATTATATTGCTTAATATATGCCTCTTTTTGTCCAGGAAAGTGTGTGAAATAACAAGTGATTCTCACCATTTCAGTCACTTAACCCCAATAAGTTAAAGCAAACCTATCCAAAACAGCCTTACTGAAGGACTAATAGTATTCCAAAGCATTTTTAAATTACTATAAGCAACAACAAGCTACTTGTTATTATAAATGTAATAATACATTAATAATATATTAATATATTATAAATATTATTAGATATTTTCCTAACTCACTCTTCTTTCAATACAAAGAAGTAATAATTTTCAAAGCAAACTTGTGTTGAATTGTTAAGAATCATACTTTCCAAGTATGTTCTATACAAGGATGAAATTAATTCATTCTTATCTTCATTTTAGTTTGACCATGAACTCTATTGAAAAAAAACAGATGTAAGACTAAACTGTTTGGTAATTTCTATAATATGCTTGGACTGGAACTGGCTACGTTCATTCCTATATGCATTCATATCTACCTCTCTATATAAGATAAAATTGGCAGTAGGAGCAACTTTATATTAAATATGTGAGATGTTCAATGAAAATCTATAAAACTTAAAAACATCTAATAATATCAATTTTTTTTATATTTTTACAGCAAATATTATTTATAGCAAAAGTAGAAATGATATAATGCAAATTCAAATAATTTATGGCCACATAACCATGTAATTTACTTAATTACATTAACTAATATGAATGTTTCTCTAGATATCTTCCATTCAGTCCCTTTGAATCATACTAGCATAATTGAAGCAATTCACAATGTCCAAAATAATAAGGAATAGTTAGCCTTCCAAAACCTGAAATTTTAATAGGGAAGTTGATGAATGCATCAGAAGACATATTTCATGCATGGAAAAGAACTTACCTTCTGTGTGTACCGCTGACACATATGTCCAGTTGTATCTCTTCACTATGTCCACCATGGCTCGTGCCTGCTGGGCATCAGAAGGCACAACCCTCATGAAGTACTTGAACAAAGTCTTATCACTCAGATCCATGCTTGTTGCTGAGTAAGCAATCTGAGGTATGTTGAAAAGCTGGAGCAAGTTCTGGACTTGAATGGCCACAGAACTGGAGCCAGGCCCAATGACCCCTACTATAGGCTTCTTGGAGCGGAAAGAAGAGGAAGAGCCATCCACACAGCGTACCAAGCCCTCCTCCTCTTCTGAAGAAATGAGGGAATCTCTTATAAACTCAATGCTCTGCTCTAGGGCCACAGCTGAATGCCAGCAGGAATCCCTTATTTCACAGCCAAGAGTGATGTTGGGCAAGAGTGTGGGGTCTGAATTGATTCTTTCCAAGGTATGTAGCATGGCCTCCACTCTCTGGATGCCATACTGTTCACGGACTGCCCCACACTTCCTCTCATGAACTTTGTCCACAGTAGGCTGGTGGTGGACAGAAAAAAGAGCTCCAATAATGATGTCACCTGGCATGTGAGCCACCACCCTCCTCTCACTGGACTGTGCGCTCCCACGGACATCTTCTTTCAAAAGCAGGACTGACAGGATCAACAGAAGGACCATTTTAGGGAAGGAGTTCAAGCTAATAAAGATAACATGGTGGAGAAAATTTGGAGATTTCTGATAGTGAAAATCAAATGATGTCCTATGTTGAGTGGTACACCAAGGAATTAGTTAGCAATTTAGATGTGTTCTCTAAAAAACCACCATGTCCCCAGGTAGCATTTAGTTAGGTGCATCCATGTGATCATGGTCTTCAAAACCTGAAAGAAAAGAACATGGGTTTTTAACAACATAAGCACAACTAGTTTTGGGAAGTTCTAATGATGCTAGTGGAGAGAGGGAATTTGATGATATGGATAACAACAACAAAATAATTACAAACTATTTCTGACTTGTCTGTTTCCTTTGTGATTTCATGAAATAGATGACATAGCTTCTTGGTTCTTCCTTGCTTAGATTAAAATTTTTCTTTGTTCATCTTGCACAAAAATATGACATGTAGCAGGCAAAACTTTACTCTCATGCAGAGGTGAGAAAGGGAGAGCATCCTAGTAGAAAAACTGTTTTGAACAGAAAATTCTAGGAAGAATGCATCCCGAAGTATTAAACATTGTTGATCTCTGGATGATGGAATTATGGTTAATTTTTTTATTTTAATGCTCATTAGGCTTCATATTTCTTTAAAATTTTTCAGCACTGAGCATAAATTAATTATTCTATATTATTGTAATTATATTATTAATAGTTATATTTAAAGAGCTGGGGATATAGCTAACTGGTAGAGCACTTCCCTACCATGTGAAGGCCCTGAGTTCCATTCCCAGAACCACTTAAATTGATAAATAAATGAAATAAACCAATTAAAATTAAAACCTGATTATTTCTTGTCTAAATTCAATGGAAAATAATGGACTGATCTTTCCAGGAAAAAATGAGTTATTTGTCTAATTCACATGTAAGATATAACAAATATGAGTAAGGAGAGGCAGATAATTCAAGTTATATGAACTGTGGGGGAGAAAAAGAAGGTTGGTATATTACAAATCAAAATGCCCTCCAAATAGGCAGCAAATAATGGTTGCATGAGCACCAATTTTTGGAGAAAAGCATATATAGGTTCAAATCCCAGTTCTGCTATTTAAAAATTATAAGAAAATTGTTCAAATTCCCAGTACCAGAATTACCTTATCTGAAAAATGGGGATAATATGTGCTAGACTACCCTTATGGGGATTCACATGAGATATCAACTATGCAAATACTTTGTAAATTGAATAGGACTATATATATTCAAAACATGATCTTTTTGCTATTAAATTTCCAAGGGCATTCTGTGGTTAGGTGTTAAGGACAGAAATTCTCTGGCAACCCAACTGGTCCTCTAGAGAATCTTCAAAGTAATTACAGAGTCTTGTAATAAAATTCACAGTAATCAGTCCTCCAGCTCTGATCCAGAAAAAAATTTCCACATTGCTAAGGCTCAAAAGGTTGGAAGTGTGCACATTTGTAACTATCCTTCAAAGGGATACAGTATATCTATGAACACAGCCATCTATTTCAGTTTAAATTCTTGAGAAGAAGGAGATTTTTGCCTCATGCTTCCTACAGCAAAGTCTAGTATAATTTGTAAAAGAGAACTGACAGATTAATGATTTTATTTAGTTAAAGGGTTTGGGTAAGAGACTTAGTTCGGTATGTTATCATCTATATTAGTCAAGGATCTTAAGTTGTTTTAAAATGACTAACTCCCTAAGCAGTATCTCTTAAAACAGGTAATAATGATTTTTCAGGAATTTTTTTTTAATCTCCATGCCTATACAAGAATACTAATGGTTTCAAAATTCATCAAATCCTAAGAAATTTCAGCCAGACACAAGATGAATGTAACTTGAATCATGTTTCTAATTACTCCTACCCTCATTTTCACTGTTTCCTTCAACTGTATCCTATGGCAACAGAGAAGCGCTCCCTGAGTATAGTGCCAAATGCTAAAATAAAAAAAAATATCATTAATAACTAGATGTTCCCGAATAATGAGGTGCTTGGCAATATATAGAAAAATTAATTTTTGGTATAAAAGTTGGCATTTTAGACAAGAGGAAAAGGAACAAAGAATGATGTTAATGTTCTCACTGGGAAGTTATCTGAATATTTTCAAATTTCCCTTTCACTCTCCTTGGACCAAAAACCTGAAAAACAATGCTAATTCTTGTGGTCATGTGAACTATATTGAATGCAAAAAATAAAAAATAAAGAGAATGAAAGCACAGTCTCTCATTATATTAAGAATTAGTAGACAAAATAACAAAATAGCACGCATTTCTTATGCAAGAATATCACAATGATATGGGACCAGAAGTAACCCATTAAATTTATGAAGCTGAAATAGGAATCCCAAGCATTATATTAGGTACAGTTGTTTTAGGAAAACCCTACACATTGAGAAACTGTATGTGTGTACATGTGTATAATATATATATATATATATATATATATATATATATATATATATATGTGTGTGTGTGTGTGTGTGTGTGTGTGTGTTTGTATGTCTTTCAGTGACTATATGTATGTGTGTGTGTGTATATATATGTATGTCTTTATATATATATATATAGAGAGAGAGAGAGAGAGAGAGAGAGTCACTGCTTATATATGCTAAATTATTTAACTCATTCAGCAAAGATCTATTGGGTATGGATAGTAATGATCATTGCCTGGATAGTGATGGTCATTGTCTTTCATGCTCCAGCCATTTATTTATTAACTCTTTTAACAAGTATTCATGGCACGCTTATGTTGTGAATCCCTACTGGGAATTGAATATCAAAAGTGAACAAGATATGCATGTTCTCTATAATTATGGGCCTTATGAAGGTATTCAAAGGGATAAATTCAGCCTAAAACTGATGAGAAAAAGGAGCTATCCCTATGAAAAATATAGTTAAAACACAAAGAATTGGAGGAATTGTGGTATAAAATGAAGTTGGAAAAACAAGAAAGAACTAGACTGCATAGGATCTTCTAGGCTCTTATAGAGAGTTTTAATGTCAGTTGCAATGAAAAGCTATTGAAGATATGTAAGCAAATGATAAACACAATTCAATTTTAGAGTTATTCTGGTTTTCTGTTATTCTGGATAATGAATTGAAGAAATCTGATTAGGAGACATTTATAATAATCTAGTAAGGAATGATAGTGAATTGACTATGATTGATGACAGTACAAACGGAGGAAACTGGACAGAGTTAAATATATTTTTCCAAGTAAAATTCACTGTACTTGCTGATGAACTAGATATGGGTAATAAGATTTAGAGAGGAACTAGGGTCACTCCTAGGCTTCTAGTCACTATCTTTTGTTTTCTCACCACCCCTTCCTATAATACAGATATTAACAAAAACTGATGCAAATAAGTTCAGCATTGTGAGACACACCTGTAACCCCAGAGACTCAGGAAGCTGAGGTGGAACAATTGCAAGTTCAAGGTAACCCTGGGCAACTTAGTAAGGCCCTCTCTCAAAAAAAAAAAAAAAAAAAAGAGCTAAGATTGTACCTCAGTGGTAAAGCTTCCCTGGGTTCTATCCCCAATCTATAGTACCAAAAATAAATAAATATATAAATAAAAATGAAGAGCAGGGCCAACCAATTTGAACTCCATACAGAAATTACAGGTGTTGCCTTGGAATCTAGAGAGTAAAGAGTATCCAAAAAAAAGAAGACAGAAGATAGAAATTTGCATAGGTATTTACTAAAAGCTTATTTATATTGTCCTCTCATCCACTACCACATTATGAAATCCAGACACCTAGAAAGGGATATTTTAGAATAAATTATAATATAAAAATATGACAGAAATTTGCTACAACTCAGATTATTATAAGGCTATTAGCAAATCATTCCGTGTGCTATCAAAATACTAAAAATTAATATAGGATAAATTTAAAATAAACTAGTAGAGGATACATGAGATCTATAAACATCACTCATTTGTTCAATAAATGCTTACTGAGTGACTATTTTTTTATTTTTGACTTAGGATTCACTTATGGACAAAGTAGACGTAAGTTCATACTCTCAAGGAGTGCACAAAAATCTAAGGGGTGTGACTGGAGAATAACAAGGTAAGCAAATAAACTATACTAAAGAATATTAATCATGAAAGAGGGAAAAGTTAGACTATGAAACAAGATAGAAAGTGGTAGAGATATAGAAAACCTTAAATAGTGTGGCCAAACTATAAACTGAAAAAGTAATATTTGAATAAAGACCTAAAGGGAAAAAAGAAGTGAATCATGCAAATATCTAGGAAAGAACATTCCAGGTAATAGTAAAAGCAAAGACAAAGTCTGCAAGATTTATTCCTAGTGTGTTAAAAGAATAGCAAAGAGGCTCGTATGCTGGCAGTGACTGTAATTGTGGGGAGAGGCAGCCGTGCAGTCTGTGACATAGAGTGATGATGCTGAGACTGCCTTGACTTTAAAAGACGTTGGCATTTAACATTGCATGAGAATGGTTTTTGTGAAGGGTTTTCAACAGAGGAGTGTTACACTCTGCCTAACATTTTAACAAGAACAAGAACACAAAAGCAGACACTGAGGGAGTAATTAGGAATCCAAGACATTGTCAGGTGAGAGAGATGACAATGGTTGGATTGGGGAGATGGTGGTACAAGTGAAGGGGTCACTAATAGGATTCTGACTGTATTTGGAAGGCAAAGTACAAAGGTTTGCTGTCAGATATGACTTATAATGTGAGAGCAAGAAAAGTGTCAATAAAAATGCTGACATTTTCAGCCATGGAGGCAGGATATGAAGAATTGTATCACTCTGAAGTGAACAGCACGGTGGAAAAGATTTGGATGGAGACAAAGACGTTCAGTTTTTATAAATTAAGCTTTAAATACTGAGTGGAAATTCAAGAAGAAATATGGAATAAGTGGTGAAATTCTGGAGAATTTGAAATTGGAGATGAAAAATGCAGGAGACATAAGTATATAGATAGATTTTTTTAAATTATAAAAGTTGATAAAATCACCTGGGAAGTGAAAAGAGAAAAGAGAAAAGAAACTAGTCTCATAGACTGCATTCCAAAGAATTTCAACTTCTAAATTGCCAGAGATAAGGAGAAACTATCAAAGGAGACTGAATAAGTTTTGAAACAGAAACTTTGTCTTGTGAAGTGTGTATGAGTGGAGTGGGCAATAAAATAAGAATTGTTCTCATTATATTAAACAGAAGTAAAAGAAGAATAGTTCAATG